CTGCGCTGCCCGGGATGAAGGCACCGGCGTGGGCCGGGATGAAGGTGCTGCGGTGATCCTGGGTAAGGAACCGCTGGTTAGCGGGGCGGCTCGTCGGGCCCGGAGCTGGGATGAAAGGCACAGCCCTGATGCGACGGCGATGGGCAGAGCTGAGCTCTGCTCGGGGCGGCAGGGAGGGCTGCTGGGCCTAGAGGAGCAGCCCAGGGTCGGATCCTGCCCCCCTGCAGCCCGGGGTGCTGGGCGAAAGGACCCACGGGGGACTCGGGGCACATCGTGGCCATGCAGCGCGGGGTCCTGGGCCGGCCACATCCTGCCCTCCTGGCTGAGGGATCCCAGTGCTGGTGGGATCCTGCGTGGGGTGGGGCTGGGAATCCTGTCCTGGTGGGATCCTCTCATCCTGTTGCATCCCAGCACAGCCCAGGACCGGGCTGGGTACAGAGGGGACCCAACTGGGGCCGGATCCTGACCCAGTGTCAGTCGTGGGGGGGTCCCAGCCCAGGGCTGGGAGCAGGGGCAGGGGCTGGGGGTCCAGCAGAGCACCCTCGGGCTCTGGAGCGTTCCAGGGGGTCAGAGTATCCCAAGGGATTGGTGCATCCTGGTGGGGCCTCGATCATCCCAAGGGATCGTCCTGGGAGGTGCAGAGCATCCCAGGGGTCTGGAGCATCCCAAGGGATCATCCTGGGAGGTGCAGAGCATCCCAGGGGTCTGGAGCATCCCGGGGGATTGGAGCATCTTGGGGGATCAGAGCATCTCGGGGGCCAGAGCATCCTGGGGGTCCAGAACATTCCAGGAGGGAACAGGGCATTGGTCCTGGGGATGCTGGAGCATCCCAGGGGATTGGAGCATCCTGGGGGTCTGGAACATTCCAGGAGGGAACACGGCATTGGGTGTGGGGGGGGGAACAGAGCATCCCGGGGGGCCGCTGCGTCCTGGGGCATTGGAGCATCCCGGGGGGCTGGAGCATCCCAGGGGGCTGGAGCACCCCAGGGTGGGTGCCTGCTGCCGCCCCGCGCGGCTCCGGCACGGTCAGGTTCACCCCCAAACACAAGTTGTCCCTCCCTGGTGCCGCTGCGCATCCTTGAGGACACCCCCGGAGAATCCCCTGGGCCCCCCGACACGAGGCACCCAGCGACCCGCCGCGGGGAGATCGACGTATGAAATTTATTTAGGAAAACCGAAACCCACCAAAAAAAAAAAAAAGAGGAAGAAGGAGGAGAAGAAGAAGAAGGAGAAGGAGAAGAGTCGTCTCCTCCTCGGGCTCCGCTGGAGCCCAGAACAACCAGCGCCGCGAGAGGGGAGGACAGAAAAGCCGGAGGAGGTTTTGCACGCCCGCGCACGCCTGTGCACGCTCATGGGGGAGCCGGGCCGAGTGCCGGCCGCGCTCCCCAGTATCCACAGGGGTATGTACAGGGGCGGGAGCCGGGAAAGCATCGACCACCTACGCACACCAGCGGCGGGGGCTGGAAAAGTGGGCTACAGCTGGGAACCGGGCATCCCCGCGTGTCCCCCACGGCGTGGCACCCGGGATGCGGCACCCCAGCGCAGGACCCCCCCTCCCACAGCCATCGGCACCAGTTTAGGATGGCGAGACCCTGAGCCTGGATTGGCAGCGGGCTGGGAGCGGTTGTGCCCGCCGGCACGGTGGTGGCACGGCCATGCCGGCATCGCGCCGGGGCTTGGAGCCGCCTTCCTCCTCTTGCAGTTTGGGGAGTTGCTCCCTGCTGGGACCATCCCTGTCCCCCCGTGTCCCTGCATGGCGGTGTGGGGACTGGGGAGAAGGGCTCGAGGGGGGTCTCGTAGGCGAAGCCATGGGCCAGCAGCCGGACGTGGTCGCTGGGCGGGTCCTACCGGGGTTTGGGCAAAGCATCGCGCTAAAGGCATCTCCGAGTAGGTAAGGCAAAAGGAATTCAGTTCACTTCATCCCCGGGGAGCAGCTCGGCTTTGGGGGCCCCCGCTGCTCCCGCAGACACGCGCCGGGTACCCCGAGCAAACAGGCGAGGCGTCGCGTACGGACGAGAGGAACGGCCGCCCCACAGCCCAAATCCGGGAGGGACCCGCCGCGCCGGGAGCATCGCCGTGCCACGGGGACCCGCTGCGGCACTGCCGGGGCTGGGCGCGGGGATGGGGCGGTGAACGGCCCCATGGCTGCACCTGGGCTGCCCTTGACCCTGGTGGGACCGACCCTGGCAGGACCAACCTCGGCAGCGCCGGTTCACCGTGCCGTTTCCATCGCCTTCGCCTGCCGCGACGGCGAGCCCAGCAGCCGGATGATGCAGCCGGGGGGCTCAGCGCACCCCAGTCCCTCGGGACTCAGCATCCACCCTCATCCCCGGCCCCTCCTTCGGCTCAATCCCAACAAGGCGAGCTGCTGGCGGGGGGTCACCCTGCCCTGCTTCCCCCGCTCGTGGGTGTTTCGGGTGGCTTTGGTTGGGGTGACACAGACCTGGGTTGCGCACAGCTGGAGGGACCCTGCAGGGCTGGTTGAGCAGAGCCCCCAGGGCTGAGGGGGTCCTCACACGGTGGGTTGTGGGACTGGAGGGACCATGGGGAGGCCAGCAGGGCCCGTGCACGGTGGTCGGTAGGACAGGAGGGACCACAGGCCATCACCATCCATGCATGGTGGTCTGCAGGACCAGAGGGACCACAGGAGGCCACCACCATCCATGCATGGTGGTCTGCAGGACCAGAGGGACGATGGGACAATGGCAGGGTCCATGCATGGCAGTCAACAGGTCCAGAGCAACCACTGGAGAACATCACCACCCATGCATGGTGCTCGGTAAGACCAGAGGGACCACAGGAGGCCATCACTGCCCATGCACGGTGCTCAGTAGGACCAGAGGGACTACAGGAGGCCATCACCATCCATGCACGGTGGTCTGTAGGACCAGAGGGACCACAGGACAATGGCAGGGCTCATGCATGGCAGTCAGCAGGGCAGGAGCGATGGTGAGAGACCAGCAGGGTCCATGCATGGCCAGAGGGACCACGGGGAGGCCAGCAGGATCCATGCATGACACTAAGTAGGATCAGAGGGACCACAGGAGGCCATTACTGTCCATGCATGGTGGTCTGTAGGACCAGAAGGTCCATGGGAGGATGGTAAGGTCCATGCATCACAGTCAGCGGGACCAGAGTGACCACAGGAGGCCACCACCATCCATGCTTAATGGTCTGTGGGACCATGGGACAATGGCAGGGTCCATGCATGGCAGTCAATAGGTGGTCTGTAGGACCAGAAGGTCTATGGGAGGATGGTAAGGTCCATGCATGGCAGTCAGCGGGACCAGAGTGACCACAGGAGGATGGCAGGGTCCATGCATGGCAGTTGATGGGATCAGAAGGGCCACAGGAGACCATCAGGGTCCATGCATGGTGGTCTGCAGGACCAGAGGGACCATGGGACAATGGCAGGGTCCATGCATGGCAGTCAATAGGTCCAGGGTGACCACAGGAAGCCACCACCGTCCATGCATAATGGTCTATGGGACAATGGCAGGGTCCATGCATGGCAGTCAATAGGTCCAGGGTGACCACAGGAAGCCACCACCGTCCATGCATAATGGTCTATGGGACAATGGCAGGGTCCATGCATGGCAGTCAATAGGTCCAGGGTGACCACAGGAAGCCACCACCGTCCATGCATAATGGTCTATGGGACAATGGCAGGGTCCATGCATGGCAGTCAATAGGTGGTCTGTAGGACCAGAGGGTCCACAGGAGGATGGCAGGGTCCATGCATGGCAGTTGATGGGATCAGAAGGGCCACAGGAGACCATCAGGGTCCATGCATGGTGGTCTGCAGGATCAGAGGGACAGCAGGAGACCATCAAGGTCCATGCATGGTGGTCTGCAGGATCAGAGGGACAGCAGGAGACCATCAAGGTCCATGCATGGTGGTCTGCAGGACCAGAGGGACCATGGGACAATGGCAGGGTCCATGCATGGTGGTCAGTATGGCAGGAGTTGTGAAGCCACTGCAAGGTGGGGATGCTCATGGACATGTTGGTCACCGGTGCGGCCGCTTGCAGAGAGAAGGCTCCTGGGTGGGCACCATGGTGCCAAGCCAAAGAAACACCCATGCACTGGGGACACGGTGGGAACCGGACCCTCGGTGGTGTCCCTATGGGAGCGCAGCCCCCCCGTGCGTGCAAAGCAGGAGCCCCCCAGCCCTGGCACGCATGTAGCCCTTGCAGGGGACGTGGCTGCGTGGGAGCAGGCTGGGTGCGGGACACGGCTCAGCGGGTCTGGGGGTCCCCAGGGGGGTCTTTTAGCCAAGGGATGCTCAGCAGCTGCTGGGAAGAGGCAGGAGCTGCGGCGTGCGGGGGCCGGTCTGGCAGGACCCGGCAGGGGATGCGGGCAGAGCACCCCGATGGCCATGGCCAAGGCCATCCCGCTCCGGGTGCCTCTTCCCTCCTCCAGCCAGAGTGAGCCTCCTTCCGTGGGCCTGATCCTGACTCCTCTGTCCTCAGACCTCCCAGCCCCCCTCCCACAGCCTCATGCCCCTCTCTGGGGTCCACGGGGACTCCCCCGTGCCCTGCAGCCCCCACCCCCCCAGCGCTCCCCTCGCCAGCCTGCCCCGCGCCACCCTCCTCTGTCCCGCTGACCCCCGCCAACCCGCAGCCCCATTCCAGGGGGACGACCCCTCTGGGGGTGCTTCCACCGAGGACATCGTCCCCGCTGTCACCTCGTGGGGACAGGACCTGCAGCCTTAAGGCAGTTTAAAGCACATACATCCCCCAGCCCCCCCCGTGTCCCCCCTGTGTCCCTGGCCACCGAGGCAGAGTCCCAGCAAAGAGGGGTCCGGGGACCACCGGGTGGAGGGGACACCTGAATACCTGCCCCGGAGGGAGGGGACAGTCACCCACCGGTGGGGAAGGACCTCACCGTTGTGGTCCGGAGTCACTGATGTCCCCCCAAACCTCCTCCCGATGGGCTGGGGGATGAGGGTTGGGGATGCTCATGGCCCCCAGCCCTGGCCCGGCCCCCCCGTCGCCCCCTCACTCGGCCCCCGCCTCGGCCTGCCCCCCCTCGGGCTCCAGGCAGCCGTTGAGCTGGGGGTCAGGGGCCTGCGGGTCGTATTCCTCATCCAGAAAGTCCAGGGAGTTGTTACTGGGCAACCCCCGGATGGTGAATTTGTGGGAGACCTTCGTCCACTGCTCCCGGTTGCTGGCCACCCTCTCGTAGAGCTCCGCCGCCTTGGGGAAGAGGTCCTGCAGCAACCTGGGGGGCGGCACCCCATCAGCATGGGGCTGCACCCCCTTAGATGGGTGCAACCCCGCTCCCCCCATCCCCACGGCTTGGAAACCCCCCTAGCATCTGCAGGACCCCCTGCCCAGCACCCCGCGTCCCACCCTGTCGTGGGAGGGGGCTCCCCCCACCCCGGCGCCAGCCCTTGGGGCTCACTTGTAGATGGGCATGGCGATGTGCTCCATGAAGCTGATCTGCAGCTCGGGGATGTAGGCTTTCTCCCGGTCCATCATCTCCAGCGGGCGGTTGCCCATGGCTTTCTCCTGCAGCGGTGGCAAGGGGAGGTCAATGCCGGTGGCCGTTCCCTCCCCATTCCCAGGCAAGACCTCCCTGTCCAGCCTCCCCCATCTCATCCGAGCCCCCTCGGTGCTTGCCAAGAGCGTTGGCCAAGCCCAACCCTGCCCCAAGCCCTGGTGCTACCTACCAGGTCACCCTGGGAGAAGAACTCCTTGTAGATCAGCTCCTGCAAGGGACAGGCTGTCAGCACGGAGGGGTCCACGGCCAGGGTGACCCCCCCACCCCGCCTGCCCTCCGGACCCCTCGCCATGGCTGCAGGGGAACGGTTCTGCCTTGGGCAGGGACACGCTCCCGGCATGGAGGGGCTGCTGCGTGGTCAAGGGGTCCCTGCATGGAGGGACCCCCTCTATGGGGCACGATGCCACTGTGAGGGGCATGCGGATGTGCGGGTGCCGGGGGTGGGGTGGCATTCAGGGTGTCGGCCCCATGGCACGGCACTCACCGCGATCTTCCTGGTGGTCTTCCAGCCCTTGGTCTGGTCGGAGAGGTCGCAGGAGGTCATGAGCAGGCAGAGCAGCAGGCTGCGGTGCTGCTTGTTCTTGGGGTCGTAGCCCACTGCCGGGCAGGGAGCGGGGCAGGGGTTGGGGTGGGGGGCTCGGGAAGGAGCCCCACAACCCCCATCACCCCCTACA